TTTTAATAATGACAATCTGCAAACAACTTGAATTTTATAAGATAACAGAGAAAGAATTACTCTAAGGCTCTTGAAGTTAACAAATTCTTCATCTAAGTTTTTTTTGCAGTTAGATGTAGTGTGGGGGGTGGGGGGTAGGTATGGGTGTGCACATGCGTTCAGGTTATGTGTAAAGCATGTTCCTCTAAATGGGTGGCATCTGGTGATAGATAGCACCTTCAAATTCATGACCTGTAAACCTGGTTTATGTGAGCTGAGTTCTAGGCTTGCTAGTAAGAATCTGTAAATTATGAACATTTCCACAGGTACCCACCAGGTGCAAAAAAAGTTCAGTGTTTTTCTAAACTGGAAAACAAACAATAGATCCCAATGAAAAACAATTTCAGGAAGATTTGTCAATGGATACCACTACTGACTGACGAAACTTTAAGTACAATTTTTAAGTGAGAGTATGTGTTTTTCATAGATCTGTATACAAAGAATGCCGTGTCTCTGTGATATCTCAGCTTGTTTGACATAATTGACTCTTGGGGGTGCACACACTTTGCTGTGGGGCTGCCCTGTGTATTTTAAGGTATTTAGTGTCATCTCTAGCCTCTGCCACTAGATGCCAGCAGCACTCCCTAACAGTGGCAGCCGAATTTCTACAGACCTTGCCAAATGTCCTTCCTCTGGAGAGCAAACAGCTCCAGTTGAGAAAGCCTGCTCGGGAACTACAAGATCTCACTAGAGCTACAGATCTCTGTTACATAAGATGAGGATATACAGGTGACTTCCATCCCAGAGAAATCAGAGAACACTTATAATGTGATCTCTGTAAAATTAATGACAAGTTAGAAAAATAACATTCAGACTCAATACCATTCTATATCGAAAAGGAAATTTCAATTGATCTAGAATCAGCTGAAAAAAAATCAGTGAAAATATTAAAAATATATGAAGAATATAATTTAACCTGAGGATGAAAAAGATCAGTGTGAGTGAAATAGAGATCCTAGAAGGGAAAAGTTCAAATCACTTAACTATGGAATATCCATAATGAAATACTTATGAAATAACTACACATCACAAGCCCAAGTTTAAAAAGAGAAAGCAAATGTGTTAACTAACTTGTAACAAAGTGAAGATCAATATCCATAATAAAGAAAAGACTCAAGGTGATTGTTCTTTAAAACATCAAGATGAAACAGACTAGTAACTCAAAAGACAGTCCACAAAAGAAAACTCAATATTTGAAATATATTAAAACATCGTAATCTGATTCTAGCTCAAGAAAATGAAAGCAAAATCACCATGAGGTGTCACCTCATGAGACTGACCAAATTATAGGGGTTTTTGAAATGTTAAACTGCTGAAGGAAGGGTGGGGTCATGGTCATGTTTCTATCAGTCTTTTCAGGAACAATTTAACAGGATCTTACAGGATATAGACTGTGCATACCTTTTACCTAGTGTTCTGTATTTGTAAATGTGTCCTAGGATGATATTTTATATGTACATACAATATATAAAATACCTTGAAAATGTTTACCAAATTGTTAATGAAAATTAATTTCAGGGAAAAAATTAGAATGTACATCTCTATCTATGCATATCACGGTGCATATCAAGTTTTACACAAATGTGTATTCTATAACTTTTACTATATTACATAATTTCATATTATATATGCTTAAAATACAGAAATGAAAGTAGCCTGCTGAAGTAAGTGCCTTCTGAAATCTGTGATTTTAGTTCTAAAATACTATGACTTAAGTCTAGTTTACAAATAAATTCTCGAAGGTAACCCACCATTTTTATGTTCATACCACAGATTCCTTTAAGAAAAGAAAAGAGGGGGAAGGCAAGTGTCATGACACACCCCAGCAACCCCAGGGCTGGGGAGGTTGAGGAAAGAAAATTAGAAGTTCCAGGCCAACCCAGACCACAGGAGATACTATCTCAATAAAAACAAAAACGAAATCAGAAAAGCTAAAATGAAGATAGGAAAAAAGGAGAAAGGCCAGGCAACTCTTAAATCCCTCTAGGTGTTTGGTTTCTGACTTAGATGACTATGCTGGTCCTCCCAGAATCTTTTAATGTCAGGTGGTCTCTGGCTGTGAAAGGTTGAGTGCTCTGACCAAGATCGCACTGGCCTAGGAAAGGAGGGAGCCAGAAAACACAATTTAATCAACGGATGGGGAAAATGTGATTGCTGTTCTCTCCGTCAGAGATGTGCTAGTACCACGAGCTGATGGAGAAACACTGCTTTATCTGAGAAGCCTTGGGGCAGAGAGCGGGGAAGGGGCCACCTGGCAGCACAAGCCTTCAAACCTGCATGAAGCAAAACTGCTGAGCACGCATTCTGCATCAAGTTCTTCAGTGCAATCTGATGTACCCCTCCTGGCAGCCTTAAAAGAAGGTACCATTACTGTCACAGCTTGCAAATGAGGACGCCGAGGCTCAGAGACCGTGGGAACATGTCCCAAAGCCATCTAGGTAGTAAGCAATGACATTTGTTATATGACTTCACAACCTGTCTTAGTCACTGCCTACTGAACAGTGTTTGAATAATAGTGTTTTTAGAAGCTAGCCTCTCAGGAGGGAGAACATAAGCGAGATGGTAGGTGCTCAAGTGACTCTGAGATCCCTGGTAGGAGGCAGAGATAAAGCTGCCTGTTTGGGGAATGTGGAATGGTTTCTAATACTTCATTACTGGAACAGAGTCTATGAGGAACCATGGCATGCTGGTTGATACAGCTGAGAAGATAATGGAGTATGGGAACCATGCTTGTGCAGGCATGTCTGAGAAGACAGGAGACAGATGAGCCATGCCCATTTGCCTGAATGCCTCCGAGTCTCCTGAGAAGTGAGCCATGTTAAAAGGAGTGGGTTGTGAGTTTGACTCAACATGAACATCTTAGTCATCTGATCCTGGGTCATTGTGATTCAGGTGACACAAGAACGTTGACCATGTTTTGTGTGTCAGTCAAATTGTTCCCATGTCAAACACCCAACTGGTTTCAAGTTACGTGTAATAGCCGAAAGAATCACTTTAATAAAAGTCAATTGAACACTAATTTGAGAGCCCTCTAGCCTGAACTTAAACAGACAGGGTGGTTAGAGGAAATTTTGTAGACTCACTAAGAAAACCAGGTGGTTAGGTTTTTGTTTTGTTTTGTTTTTGCCATCATTAGCCTCTACAAAATCCAGAAACATATTCAAAAGTAAGGATTGGCTTACTTGAGCATATTGAAGCAAATATGTGTGACTTACATATGTTAAACACATGTGTATTTAAAATGTTTAAATTCATTTTAAATCCAGAACCTGAAGAAACAACTTAAACTGCCTAGCATGCACAGGATCCTGGGTTCAATTTCTTCCCAGCAGTGAGAAGCAATTCACACAACATGGCATAGTTGTCTAAGTCCATCCTTTCATGAGGAAAGACATGTTGAGGGGACTTTCCACGTGACTGTAATACTAAACAGTGGATTAAGATACCTGTTTGTTTTTAAGATTTATTTTTTTGTGTTTAATAATGTGTATATGTGTGTGTGTGAGTGTGTGTGTGTGTGTGTGTGTGTGTGTGTGTGTGTGTGTGTACCAGGACATGGGCACTGAGTAGGGAGTGCAGGTGCCCACTGAGGCCAAAAGATGTCAGATCCCCTAAATCTGGAGTAATAGGCAATATTCAGCCACTGGACCTCTGCACTGAGAATTGGGTTTAGGTCCTCTACAAGAGCAGCATGTACTCTCAACCACCGAGGCATCTCCCCAGTCCCAATATCTAAGTTTTACTTCTGGCTTTGCCACAATCTAACTTGACAATGCTGAGGGGATCATCTAATTCTGAAATGAAAATGAAAGCCACCTCCCACCCCCATTTGGGCAATACAGCATTTCAAGATCTTAAAATGTCAGCAGTGGGAGGTGAAGTTCTCCTCTGAGATCTCATTTTGCTTAACTTTAGAGCAAGCTCAGTGGGTTCCAAGGAGAGGACGTGGGGCTTTGTGGAGACAGTCTTTCGTTTCGCTTTTCCTCATTGGGTCAAATCACTCCTGTCTAAAATGTAGCAATCAACAATACTGTGGACGAATGCTCAGCCAGACCCAGATAAAGACACTTGCCTCTTCACACCTACCCAGCCGGTGGGGATGGTGAAGGGTGAGTCATCTGGGCACATTTCCACAGAGTCGTCTTTCCGGCTTTGACTTTGGCTTCTTCACCCACCACATTCCCAAAGTCTGCAAATGGGTGTGGCTGCTATTAGAGCTGAAAAATTGATGTAAAAGTAGAAAAATTACCTTAGTGTGTTTTTTTTTATTAACTTGAAGCAGTCTTTACTTAAACTAATGAATCTTCCTTCTTGGCACGCTCAATTAATAGCAGGTCAAGGAGCTGCTCTCACATTGCCTCACCGTCTGCTTAACTAGGACATTTGGCTCATAAAAATAATGAGGCTTCCACTCATTATTTGGGTTACTTCAGGTGATTTAATTACTAGGTGTCACTGTTAATAATAACTAGTAACTACAAACCAAATTTAAAATTTGGTATATATGTATTGAACTAGAGAGAAGCAGGCTAAACCTAGATTGTTTCCTTACCATTAATATTTTTATCCAGCACTAAAAATAACAAGTGTTCTTAAAGATTTTGGCATTTCAAATAAAAGTAGTTAGCCCTGCATTTCCTCTTCAGCAGCAGGACAGTGATGATGGAAGCCACCAAATGCTACTATAGAAACTTGCAGTATGTTCTGCATGTTCCATGTCTTGCTAATTATCAAACAAAGATAAGAACTGAGCAAAAGGGGGAGGTGCTTCATATGGCCCTCACGTGGAGATGGCCAGCAGGTGTTTACGGGCTACATAAAACATGCATGAAACTCCCGGTTGCAACAAGGAAAGTTAGACACACCTAGAAGTGGAAGGATTGGTGTTTACAAGATGAATGAGAGAGGAACAGGAGGAGCCAGCTGGGACTGTGACATTCTAAGCAATGTTTGCAGCCTACACCGTGTTGTTTCATTCCTGTACCTAAACCTGCTTTATCTGCTTCAGATTTTTTTACCACTGGAAAATACACAAAGATGTTTTAAACCTACAGGTCCTTCCTCTAGATGTAGTTGCTACATCCTTAGGAACAAAGCAAATGCAGGTGTTGGACCATGTCAGAAATCTTGTCAAGAGCATGGACTGTTTCACACAGAGTGGAGATATGGCTTCTGATCCTGGTGGCTTATTTACTCCAAAGAAATGTGAACTCAGGACATATGCCAACGAAAGCTGCGGATCCAGAAGCATTCATGAATGTTGTAAGTTGGGGTTTGTCATGTTTGGAGGAAACGAAGGGTTATGTGTTTTACCATTTGCCTCTCTGCAGTAGCTGCATGCTGTGTTATTTTTATATAGTGAGATGTTTCATGCTAGAACAGTATGGTGGAAAACACCAGAACTGGAAAAGAGCTAAACTGGTTGTCAATTGATTTGGGGGCTTCCCAATCACATCCAGTGATTTTGGGTGAATGATTTAATCTCTTTGGACTTTAAGAACAACTTAATTTGTCCTTGAATTCTCAGATTCACCCAGTAAGCAAGGAAAGAATTGAAACATTCTTGATGATTTTCATTCTGTCTTTGTTTTCTTTCCTGCTTTGTCCCTTTTATCACCTCTGACCTCTTGCTGTGAAAGCATATGCTTATAGTAGCTTCGTACTCTTAGCCTGCTCCGGATGCTAACGCTGTCAAATAGCAATGAGAGGTGCCTGTTTGTATTAGAGAAGATGTGTGAGTCAGATGCACAGAGGATGACACATGTCTTTGGAAGTCTTCTGTAGAATTTTTGTGTTTACTTTAAATCCCAAGTTGGTTTTTAGTACATGTTTGACATACAGTACCATTTATTCCATAGACAGTATTGTAATAAAAGTGGTAGAGACATTATCTCCTTTTCAGTGCTCTGTCCTGAAGAGATGGTTATCTACACTTTTCAAATCAAGGCACTGACATTAAAGAAGCATCTAAACAAGTTAAACAAGCCCTACCGCTGCTCCTTGGTAGACCTGCAATTTAAATTCAGGCTCACCGAAACACACGACTGTAATTATAACCACTGTGCAATAAAGCCTACCATGTGACAGGGTGGAGAGTCGACTTCCAGATGGGTGAGATGATGTGCTGGATGCCCCTTAGACTCACCTGATAGCCCCACCAAGAGAGGAAGCTTAATGTTTTGTGACTGAAGACCCTTTTTATAGAAACTTTCTTTTTTTTTCTGGTGTTTTTTGCCTGATTTCTAAAACTAATAGCCTATATAACAAAAGAGTTTTCTATGAATCATAGGTCTATCGGGCTTCATTTGCCATCTCAATGGCTGCTGTCATAGTTTCTGAAACTCACAGACTGTAGAAGCATTCTGAGTCTACAGAGTATGGATATCGGGCTTCTTTCAACCATCCCCACTGACTACCTTATGTTTGTCCTCCCAGGACTTTACTTCAGATCCTCAGGAATCCTAAATGTCCCACACAAAGTCCTCCAGCATACAGAGAGTCCCTTTGACAAAGATTGCCTTCCTAGACCAACCCCTGCACATGCTCAGTACCTCCAGGCTCCCAGGATTTCTGGAAGGACTGGACTCCCCCACTGCAGATGCCTGAAGCTGTGCTATGCACCAAGGCAAAGAGAAATCTCAGAAAATCAAACACCCTGGTTTCACTGAGCTGACAATCCAGCACAAAAGACAAACTCTTAATTATCTTGATCACAAGACTGAGATAAAGGGGAGAAAAAGCCAAAACAGGGGAAACTAAATTTTGTAGCCTAAAACCAGAAGAATAAATAAGAGCTGGGAAGGGAGTTGCTGGCAAAGAGGTCAGCATGTTGAGAAACTGGAGCACTGAAATCTCGCCGTATTCAGGCCGTATTCACAATGAGAGTAGGTTATTGTGCAGTTGACTTTTAAATTCAGTACTTTTATTATAAGAACATTATGATTCCCTTGTATGAAACCTAAGAACTTTGGAGCCAATAATGGTTAATGCATTAATACATTAATACACTGAGCTAACCATCAATAGCTCTGACGAGTCCTTTAATTTTCTTCTAAAACTATGAAGTTTTCTGTTTTCTGAGAAGACTAAGGAACATCATACACAATTTGCCATTTTCCAACATTTTCAATATATATCGCGATATTAACAATATATATCGCGAAGAATTTCTCAAGCTTTTAAATAAGCTCTAAGAACATTATTCAATTTTCTGTATCACATTATACATGTTTGTCCCAGGTTGGTTTCTCAGAGAGCAGACATGTTTTAAAGCATAATTCATGTGCAAGATGTTTATTAGGAACCCTCGTGGCTTGGCATAGTGGATTGGCATAGTGGCACACACCTGCAGTCAAAAGCTTCTAGGGGAAGCAGAAGGGACTCTTGACCCCACAATACAGCACCACACACACACACACAGAGAGAGAGAGAGAGAGAGAGAGAGAGAGAGAGAGAGAGAGAGAGAGAGAGAGGCAACATCTCTAAAAACGAACAAACAATAAAGGGTAAATATTCTTAAAGTAATGTTTTAATTCATATAACTGATTTTTTTTCCTTCAGGTAAATATTTTAAAATAGAAAATTAGGTTGTATTAAATATAGTTAGAATTTTTAATTTACACTTTGGAGAGCAAAAGCATTCTAAGCTTCAATTCAACTTTGACTGTACAGTGAGGTTCTGATTCAAAATGCATATATGTATGTGTGTTAATATACATCTATATGTACATATACATTGATAGATGTATCTTCAAAAATGCTTATGCCACTGGGCGTGGTAGTACACGATTTTCATCCTAGCACTCAGAATGTAGAAGCAGATGGATCTCTGTGATTTCAAGGCCAGCCTAGTCTACATAGCAAAGACACCCAGGGCTACATAGAAAAAGAGACCTTGCCTCAAAACACAAAGGAAAAATTGTTACAAAAACATCTTTAGAATATTTTGAATCTGTATTTTTATGTAGACAAATTTGTGTTTTGATATTACCCTGTGTAAGCTCTCTTACCAAATATAGTGTCTCCTGACCATCTGTTGACAGTGTTCACTAATATATAATCCTTTTCTTTCTAGGATACCCATGTCCCTAGCATCTACCTCCTAGGTTCTCTCGGGTTATTACTATTCAGTCTTAGAACAGCTCAAATTCTCCCTCCTCCATAAAATTTTGCTGAACTGGTCCTGTTCATGGATCTCCCTCTGCTCAGAATTCCTTTCCTCCTTCTTTCCCTCACATCCTTCAGCCATTATTTACACCTAACCACTCCTCCCTGTAACAAATTACATAGTCCTTCTCAGAAGCCCCTTACCATTTCAAGTGTGTATCTTATCTCTCCAAGCTGTCCCCAACAGTGACTCTCGAAGGATACCAGAACAAGCAGCTTCTTCAACATCTGGAAGTTTGTTAGAAACTTCAGTGCCTAGTCTTAAACTTATCTTGTTATGCAGTGTTCAGTTGACATCCCTGGGAGGCCTGCTCTTTTTATGAAGGGAAATGGAGGGAGAGATCTAGGGGAAGGAGCAACTGGGAGGAGTGGAGGGAGAGGAAACAGCAGTTGGGATGTAATGTATGAGAGAAGAAGATGGATAGATAGATAGATAGATAGATAGATAGATAGATAGATAGATAGATAGATAGATAGATAGATAGATATAGATAGATGTTTTGGGTCTACCCCAGACCTGCCAAAAATCTGAGAATGGAATCCAGCAATTTGTGTCTTGACAAACCTCTAAGTAGGTCTGATGCATGATCAAAACAATTTAACTATGCAATGGTTTGCACACCACACACAAATCCATAATACTTGGTCAGTTGGGTTTTAATTATGTACTTATTGGATTTTTAATTATATATAATTCCTACTGAGTGCCTATTGCTGGTGTTAGGCATTGCATTAGTGTTCCATGCATTTTCCTTGCCTTACCCTATACATCATGAACTAGCAGAGAAATAAAGTAAGGAGCAGTAAGTAGTTAAGGTTTTCAATATCATACAGCCAACTTGTGTGTTACATTAGAACGCAGGGGGAGACCTCTACCATTTGTTTGTTTGCTTGCTTGCTTATTTGTTTGCTTACTTGCTTGCTTGCTTATTTGTTTTTTCAAGACAGGGTTTCACTGTCTAATAGCTCTCCTGCAACTCACTCTGTAGCCCAGGCTAGCCTTAAAATCACAGAGATCCACCTGCCTCTGCCTCCGGAGTGCTGGGATTAAAGGCATGTGCCACCACCCCTGGTTTGGCCTTTCTTCTTAGCGATTATGCTTGCTACTCTGGATTCAGTGCTGGGCCTTTGGAACATGGTTTCTCCTCTCTGACTCATTTTGCAGCAGCCCCTGATTGAAAAGGTCCCCTCCTCCTCTGACTGATGAGATAGTGACAGATGGTAAGAGCTGTGAGCGTTCTTAGGAGGCAGAGTTTCAGCGTGCACTTCTACCTGGAGTGGAGATGTTTAGCGAGTGGTCCAGGGTAGGCACGAAGGAGTTTGAGACTCCTGAAATTGCATACAAAGGAAATGTTTATGCATAACATTTTTATAGTTATCCCCAAATCTAAGGAGGGTTTTTACATCTAAAAGCTTAAGAATTAATGTTCTTCAGTTCATAAATTTAAAACTGAATGAGTCTGAGGAACTGTGGGGCCCAGGAATGTCCCCAAGTCATCCCCAGAACAGGCATGATATTGATTGCAGTACAATGGCCTGATTTCTAACCTGGCCGGAGCCCAAGATTCTATACATTCAGTGGCCCTGAATGATTCTGAAACACACATCCAGGCTTTGGAATCTGTGTTCTGGTTCAATGTTTGTCAAATATCAGAATTCTGTGAAGACCTTTTTGAAACACAGATTGCTGGGATCTGCCTTCAGAGTTCCTAATATAGAAGGTTCTACTGCCATGCTCTGCCTTCCTAGCAAGTGCCAGGTGAGGCTGCAGAATTGCCCCCACCTACTGAAAACCATGATCTAGTTTAGTCTCTATATGAAGAACAAAAAGAAGTGAGAGAGATGGGGTGTAGCTTAGTGGCAGAGCACTTGCCTAGTGTGCAAGGGCTTGGGTTTGATCACCAGTACTGAAAAATATAAAAACTAGTGAAAGTGAAGCCTAGGAGGATTGGCTGGTTTTACTAAGTATTATCAGTTCGAGAATAATAAGGACCTTCTTGCAACACCAAAGAAGCCTCTCTTACTCTTAAGACTTTAGGACTATGACCATGTAGACCTGAACTCTAAATTCTGAGGTTTTTTGTTTGTTTGTTTGTTTGTTTTCTATAGAGTGAAATCATCCAACACAAGGGTTATCCCAGTGAGGAATATGAAGTTGCGACTGAAGACGGATACATCCTTTCTGTGAACAGAATCCCTCAAGGTCTAACACAACGAAAAAAGGAAGGTATGGTTTACTCAGTATCACCCCAGGATGACAGTCTTCTTGCAGCCCAGACTTTCTTGATATTTAGAATTAAGTTTGGTTCTTAGGATAGTCTGAGGTCTCTTGGTTAGACTGAAAGATAATGTCAGTTCCCACATAATGTCTACCCCCATTACCACATTATAGCCTATCCATACCCATGTTCATCAACTATCTCAGACATATGTTTTCTTTTCAAAATTGCCTTTGATCTGGAGAGGGAGATCAGGGGTAGAACACATGCCAAACATTTGTGGAGCCCTGAGTTCAGTCACCATCACTACAAAAAAACAAAAAACAAAAATTAAATAAAAACAAAACAAAATCCACAAACAGAACAAAACAAAACAAAATCTTCAAGAAAAATTCATTTTAATGGATTTTTAGAAAAAAAAATCCATCCTGGCACTTAATCCATTTTCAAACTTCTTCTACATAGAAATTCTAGAACATTTCCTGATGATCCCTTGAAAAGATCCCGGTCATAAAGAAGGAAAGCTCCAGTGAAGTGTCTGAAGCTCAACACTGTGCAATGTGTTCCTCCTCCAAAGAGTATTTCAGATATTTATGATGTTGCCTCATTTTCTACTAAGGACTAAGAACCAGGTTCTAAGTGCACATATTTTAATTTTCAGTTTGTGTTTATGCCATTTGCTTAATTTTGTTTCTGTATGAGATTCTCGACTGACACTTTTTAAACTTTCATCATCATCAACAAAGTATGTGCCCACTCGTTTCCACCAATCTCTGTGTCTTTTATATTCTGGCTCTACATTGATAACAACAACTGTATTGTTGGTCATGGGTGCCAAAATATAACTTCTTTGGCCCTTTCTATATGCCCGCTATAACACCAAGTGCTTCATTTTTTTAGTCTCATGTAATTTTCATTATAACTCTGTCACACGGTATCCCAGAAATTCCATGCTAATACTTGCTAGTACATGTCACTCAAATTAAGATGTTTGTAAGAGTGCACTCAAATTAAGATGTTTGTAAGAGTGCAATAATATTGCTGTGGAATATTATTTTAAGATGTGTTACATTTGTTTATGCTGTGGAACATTTGTTTTAATGATGCAAAGATGTGTTGCATTCTTTTATGTTGCATTTGTTTAACTCTGTGAAGCTGTGTTACTGTGCCTGTCTAAAACACCTGATAGGTCTAATAAAGAATTGAACAGCCAACAGCAAGGCAGGAGAAAAGATAGAAGGGGCTGGAAGACAGAGAATAAATAGAAGGAAAAGAGAGAAAAGAAGAAGAGCAAGAACAAGGAGAGGAGGGCGCTAGGGGCCAGCCACCCAGACAGCCACGAACTGAGAGTGAAAGTAAGATTTACAGAAATAGAAAGATAAAAGTCCAGAGGCAAAAGGTAGATGGGATCATTTAAGTTAAGAAAAGCTGGCCAGGCGGTGGTGGCACATACCTTTAATCCCAGCACTCAGGAGGCAGAGCCAATGGATCTCTGAGTTTGAGGCCAGCCTGGTCTACAGAGCAAGATCCAGGGCAGGCACCAAAACTACACAGAGAAACACTGTCTCAAAAAAACCAAACCAAACCAAACCAAAGCTGGCTAGAAACAAGCCAAGCTAAGGCCAGGCATTTATAGATAATAATAAGACTCCATGTGTGATTTCCTTTGGAGCTGGGTGGTGGGCACCCAAAAAAGCCAAAAGAGTAAAAAAAAAAAAAAAAAAAAGCCAACTAACAACATGTTCTTAACTAATACTGGACAAATGCTATTGGTCTTTGATATAAAAAGTTCAGAATTCTGTTTATCCCAATTTATACTTGTATAGCCTTGAAAATGAGTGCTTGTTTGACACATGTTTAACCTGATGAGGGTCTGCTTGGTTTCCACCCCAGTGCCTTTGAACTTACAATTTTCTTTACAGCTTTCATGACCTTTCTTCTTCCCTGACCACCCTAGTAGGAATGCAGCTTCACATCATCTATTAACATCTGCCTCATTCCCTCATACATTCCCTTACAATATCTGAAGACTTTCTATATGGTAGCTAGTTTCTGGATGGTTTATTGTCTTCTGCTTCTCCACCAGAGTGGGAAACACAATGAAAGCAGGGTCTTCTCCTATTTCATTCAAGGCCTGTGCAACAGCTAACACAATGCTGAGAGCAATCTAGGTGCTGATAAATTTACTTGTGAGATGGAGAAATGAAATGTGCAAATAAATGAATACCCTAGGAACAGACTTTTCACTAGGTTCCACAAATCTTACAGGCTTGGGCAAGGCATGGTGCTTCCAGTCAAGCAGTTACTGTTGCTCAGTGTGGAAGAGGACACCTGCATTGCTCAAGGGTCAAGTGTTTGTACTCACAGACTGCTGACTGGCCTGAGCTGGAACTTCAAGAAGCCTTTTAGTCCAATTGGTGTGCAATACAGCCCCCTGCTGGCCGATATTCTTACTGTTCCTGTTACTTCCTAATGGGCTGTAATTGATTATGATTATTTATTTGGGTTTTGACAGCGTCTTGCTGTGGTAGCTGGCCTCAAAATCATGATCCTTCTTTATTAGCCTCCTCATTTCTGATATTATAGGTATGTACCACCATACCCAGATTATAACTTTATTCTGATAGACACATTTCTCTGAAGTGTGGGTGCTTTTTACATGTAGTAGTCTTAGTCATTAGACCATTTTATATATGTACATGTGTATATGTGTGTGTTCATCATTATAAAATATCCTCTTCTGAAACAGACCAAATATTTTCTGAAGACCTAATACTAACAGTTTCATACTTAAAGTTCCTCAAAAAACAAGTATGGAAACTGCATTTTAGGTTTTTTTGTTTGTTTGTTTGTTTGTTTGTTTGTTTTTTCCCTCTTTAGCGGGCAATATGCTGTCTGTTACTTGTGATGTATCTTATTTATTCACAACAAAAATCCTATTTTCTGGTGGTGAAGAAATTAAAACACACAAAAAAGTCAACTAAGATAACCAAACTAGCAAGCGGTAAAAAAGGAAAGATTTGCACATAGATTTCTCGGGCATGCAAGTTCTTGTTTGGAGAGAAAGCAAGAAAAACAGAGAACATTTCATGGAAGTTGGAATTTTCTCTCATCTGCAGGATCCAGGCCAGTGGTGTTACTGCAGCACGGCCTTCTTGGGGATGCTAGCAACTGGATTTCCAACCTGCCCAACAACAGTCTGGGCTTCATTCTGGCTGATGCTGGCTTTGATGTGTGGATGGGAAACAGCAGAGGAAATACCTGGTCTCGGAAACACAAGACTCTCTCCATAGACCAAGATGAGTTCTGGGCTTTTAGGTACAAGAAAACTTTGAGGATGGACATGGACATAGATGTGCCTGGAAGAACTGAGTAAAGAATGGTGACTTGTAGCATTTGGATAGCTTGTTTAGTTGTATCACCAAAGTCCCAACTTGATATCCCCAATTTTCTTAACTATCTTGTGATGCTTGAGCTGAGAATGGAGAAGACTGGGTTTCCCAAGGTCTGGCTAACAATGGGGTGAGAACAGTGGCTGTTGTGGATTGATGGAGACTGGAGTGAGAAGAGTGTAGGTTCATTTGCGTGTGAGCGAGTATCTAGGACTAACTCCCTCATATGTGACAACATGGCTGATACCGCCAGGAGATGAGACCAAGTGTCATTAAATGGGGGTTTGTTAATCTTTGTGTGCCATCAACTTAACTAGTGTTTCTCATAACCTCACTCAAGTTCCTAAGGTCCTTACTTACCACTGATATTCAACCCATTCTTTATCCATTTCATCAGATAAAAAGTTCTGCTGTACTTTCAGGATTTGTCCTACAAAGAAATCTGCATCCCCCTGTGCTGTTCTACTTATGGGGTAGAACACTCCTCACATTAGGAGGTGGCTTGTGGGTCCAAAACTATTCAATAATCATCACTCCATTATAGCATTTAGAGAGACTAGACATTTCTATCAGTCTGTGGCCTCACAGAGTCACCACAGGTTTGAAACAAATCCATCTTGAGGGTTATGAGGGGCACAGTAAGTTAGCAGAGCTGACACTAGGGGGCGCTTGTTGGCAGATCCTGGGGGTGGGAGGTGAGTGATTTTGACTGCGTTCTGTTTATGTTATAATTGTTGTCTAACTTTGTCTTTTCCCCTTGTAGTTATGATGAAATGGCTAGGTTTGACCTTCCCGCTGTGATAAACTTTATCTTACAGAAAACAGGCCAGAAAGAGATCTATTATGTCGGCTATTCACAGGGCACCACCATGGGTAGGTTCACAGGAGAGAAGGTTTGTATCTGCAGAAGAATGAGCCTGCAACCCAAGCTGTGACTGAGCTCAGTCAATTACTCCTCACCTGGTTTTCTCCTCTTCAGTGGCTCTAAACGCTTCAGGGACAGAGGCTGAACTAAAGAAGCTTGAGATATGGTAGAAAGAGGAACTGATAAGGATACAAATACCATCTCTGTCACTCTTTAGATATTTCAAAGGAAATCCTTTAATCCTGCTCAATTTCCTCATCTGCAAAACAGAGATAATAGTTCTCTCTTAAGGGTATTCTGACTAACTGGACTACTTAATACAATGATGTATGTTAGCTCTGTAAAGGTATTTTGTCTAAAAGACAGTTGTAATAGAGGTTTGTAGTCCGTGGTATGCACTCAGTGAATGTGTTCAGTTTTCTAAGGAATAACACAAACTTTTAAGCCAGAGTAGCTGTGTCTAACTACCAAGACAGCATTTACACTCATTAGAATGATGAAGTGAAGGGATTCAATACCATCTTTGTATTGTTTAGCCTTCATAATAATGATAATTGACTTATATGAATATTTACTAACTGCTTGCCATTAGAAATGCATCATTTTGCTTTATCTCTGAACAAGAGTATTTGGAAAAACTTCATATTCCCATCTTATAGATGAGTGAATTGTAACATAATGAAAGAACTAGGAACTTAACAGTGAGTCTCTCTCTCTTTCACACACACACACACACACACACACACACACACACACACACACACACACCTTCCTCAGCTCCTAAAAGAGTCTTACTTCCATATCCACAACCATCGAGGACTATCAAGTCCAGTCTCTCAAGGAAGAGACGTGGATACCTTTGAAGCCTGCTCTCCTACTGAAGCATTATGAATCCAGGCCAATAGACCTCAACCAGCACTGGGTTAACTCATAGGATTCTTGTTGTTGCCTTAACTCAGCAATACACCATGGTGCCCGCAGACCATACAGTCACTCTGGTCATGGGTACTGACTCACCAGGTGGTTCCCTTCTGCCAAAGTTCTCACTGATCAGTAAATGGTCTCACCAAACTTATCTTTTTACTAGCTCCAATTTTCCCCCAATGAATACAGTGGCCATTTTCCTTTCTCTGAAATTCCTCAAGTTTATGCTCTATCTTCACTCTACTAAAGGAATAAAGGACTTAATGTACTAACTTTGAGAAATTCAAAGGAGAAGGAGCCAGAATGAGGAGGAGAAAATCTATTTCATGTGCGAGTTCAACATGTTATAGGAGAGTTCATGTGTATCAAATTGTCATTTTCCCTAAAATTTATTCAGCCTCAGGACACACAACACACAGAGTCACAAAGAGTAAACTGGTTATAGCCAAGCCCTAGACACCAATTTTGTTAAGCAGACAGCATAATTTATACACAAAATTAACCTGACTCTGAAGAGCAGTGAGCACAGTATAACTGGCTATTTTTGTTTATCTCTCTCTCTCTCTCTTGATTTGCATCAATCACATTGCTGTCAGTATCTATTGGGAACTATGTGGTTCACTAAGGCTTCTTGAGTTTTATTCATGGAACCAACTTGTTTCCTGAAAAAATTTCCAACCATCACTAAGATCGTTACTCACATTTGATATCATGTAAAAATAAAGTTGTATTGGGAGTCAAAAATTCTAATGACTGTTGGAACTGAGAGCTCAAATTCAATGGGCTCATTTTTAACCCATACTCTAAAGGATGAGAGAAGCTTAGGTTTCACGCTTTCCTTATCTTAATTTCGGATAACAGCAATGGGCTGTAGTGTTGCTCACTCTCATCAAACCAGAGATAGAAAGGTTACAATGTTTCATATCTCTATGACTCGGGTTTTTTTAAACTGGTTTCTCTATACTCAAATTGTTCATCTTAACACCAAGGCAGAGGTGCCAGTGACAAGGCTAGATGCTGTTTTTGAGAGGAATGCATGAGTGAGAAAGCATGTTAGTCTAGTGGTAAACCATGAAGCTGTTAAAATAAAAACCTTGAACTTGTTTTGCATGTTCCTGGGAGAAGCTCTTTAGGGTTCTTAGATCTTATCTTTTGAGGGGAGTTCTAATCTGGTCAGGATTAATCTGCTCAGGATAGGTTTACGTATTCCCACCCGCTTGTACTCACAGCATCGCTGAGAGAGCAAGAGATAATAAGAAATCTTCCCTGTCTTTGACTTCGCACACAGCAAGCAAACCCAACCAGATGCAGAGGACTGGGTAGAAAGATTCTGTCTCCTCTCACACCCATTCGCTTTCTGGGAACTGAACAGAGGTCACGAGTCAACTTTTTCTCATCTCCAACCCTCTCACTGGAAATACCAGCCTAAACAGAGAATGTGCATATATACATGATTTTAAATATAAGACCATGCCCTGACTTCACCGGACAGACTTTCTCTTCCATAGGTTCAGCAGAGATCTTCAATAAGTAAGAGTGTTTGGGGAAATTGCTCTATCTACTCTGGGTGTAGAAGCCAAACAATTTAACTCAATGAGAACGTACTACCTGAAAACAAATATGAAAGGTGTCATGTGAAACACAGGAGTTTTTGCATTGGGCCCCACTCCCACCCCACCCCATATACACACTACATCCACGAAGCCTACAACTGCACTGGAATAAGGTTAAGATACAATCACACACAATTATTAGAGGATTTGGACACAAGTAAAATACACACACATCTTATGAGTTCTTGGACATTTGATACCCACAGTGATACATTTTTCTCTCTTACAGGCTTTATTGCATTTTCCACAATGCCAGAGCTAGCTCATAAAATCAAAATGTATTTTGCCTTAGCACCTATAGCCACTGTTAAATATGCAAGAAGTCCTGGTACCAAATTTCTGCTGCTACCAGATATGATGATCAAGGTATGTGACAGCCCAGATGTCTCTGTTTGCAGGGAAGTCTTTCAGCCCAGTTTCTTGCAATGCATGCTCTAAATAGAAGCAGTTTTCTTCCTGAGTATATTGCCATGGACATTATTTCATCTCTTATCTTTACAGGGATTATTTGGCAGACAAGAATTTTTATATCAGACTAGATTTTTCAGACAGCTTTTTATTTACCTTTGTGGCCAGATGATTCTTGACCAAATCTGCAGCAACATCATATTACTTCTGGGGGGATTTAACACAAACAACATGAACATGGTGAGTAAAAATTTCATTTCCTAAGCAAAGCCGGGAGTTCTTGGTCTCAGTCCTTGAAAATGAGCTAACACCAGCCAAGGGTTGGAGAAATTATGTGCAACATGTAATTTGTGATTTCCTAAATGTAAGAAAACGTTGGGCAAACTTCAGGAGGAGTCTTGTGGGATGCAAGACTATATTATAGAGATTCAGCTGTGGATTAAAGCTATACTTTGGCCGGCTAAGGGTCTGTCAAAAGGCAAGCCATTTATTATGAATATTTGGTGTTATCTAGCCTTTAATAATTTCAGCTGTCTTCTACTATGAAATTCTTGCATGCCAAAATATTTCCAGACCATTTGCCTAATAGTTCAGTTCCTCAGATCTGCTGAACTTCCCTGCTGGAGCCAGTACTTGGATAAGGTGGTGTAGCCAAAGACAAGCGGACTGGCGACACATAGTTTTGTTTCTTGTGCTAATGAAGCTCAGACCATCCCCTTGCCTAGAGGCCTAGTGGCTCTCCAGAGCAATTGACTGAGAACAAAATGGGTTTTTATTTATCAAGGTGGAAGGTAGGGTGGAGGAACATTTCTGAGGAGGCATAGAACTGCATGCCCAGGAAAAGAAAGGGCAGGCATTTTCTGTAGAAGCAGACAGAACTGCATAGTCAAGGCGTTAGAGAAGAGAGGAAGACAGAGATTCTGTAGAGGGTAAGCAGATATCGGGTAGAGTTTTCTGAGTGCCAGGAGTAGAGAGTAGTGGAAATGGAGAATGAGGAAACAGAGGATGAAGATGAGGCTGGAAGAATAGGAGTTTAGTCCTTAGCAGGACTGTGAGCTAGGGAACTGGATGGAACTGAAGCTATGTGAGCAGAATTTCATCCCAGAAAAATAAAGTAAACAGATAAAGAGCTTGGTATGTCTAGAGCTATTCCTGCCCTGAATGCCTGACGAAGCTATGGCTGTATTGATAGAATTTTGCCTTAGAGGAATAAAGTTAACAGACCTAAGAGCATAGTATATATAGATTTTTTTTTCCCTCAGATATCCCACACCAGACATAGCTAAATCCCCAGACTCTTGGGTATTCAACAGAAGGCATAATGTAAGGTTAATGTGAAAGCATTGCCAGGTCCTAACTTGACAGACTGCAGGCAAGGTTGGAAACCTATAGGAAATAAATACGTGGAGATAAGTAACAAGGAAACCAGAAGTCAATCAACCAGACATCATGTCTGCCCTCCACATGGGGACTTTGGATTTGAGTTTCCATGATGGGAATTTCAGCTTAGCTTAGGTATGACTCTGGTGACATCACCAGGTGAGTTCTCTAGCATGTATGAGTTAGAGATTAATGTACAAAGTGATTTGGCTCTTGAGAAAATTCCCAGAGAATGAAGGAAAATGGACTCGGCAGATAAAAGGTGGAGCTATGAAGTAACTTCAAAACAAGCTGAAGCTGACCCTCTCTCTAGGATGGTGATTCTCAACCCTTGGGTCATGATTCCCACAGAGGTCACATATCATATATTCTGATATTTACTTATGATTCATAACAGTAGCAAAATGACAGTTATGAAGTAGCAACAAAGTAACTTTATGGTTAGGGGGTCACCACAACATGAGGAACTGTATTCAAGGGTCACAGTATTAGGAAAGTTGAGAACCACTGCTCTAGGATTTGTGAAAGTGGACTAATCCTACAGAGATGACAGTGAGGGTGACGTTGGCCAAGGCATGGAGATCCCTGTGAGATCTGACAGTGGAGATCTGCCTACCTGTAGCATCACTGAGGAGTGACTGGAGTAATGTCTTTCATTCCTAAGAAATTTTCTTTAAAAAAAATGAATTAACTTATAACCACCATTTAATAGGCATCTGTACTGTGCCAGGATAAATTGTTCCTTACAACAAACTCAAGAGACAACTATTATTAATAGCTCCACTGTATGGGTTAGTATACTGAATTCAGGTTTTAATTAACTTGCCCAGATCCACCCAAAAATTAAATAATAGAGCTAGGTCCAATACTCGAGTTCTTATCCTAAATTTCTCTAGTAAATTTGCTTATTTATTATTGTTTAGTCTATTTTGGCAGTGATGGGGTTGAAACTTGTAAGGTCTTTTTAATGAGAACCTATTCTTAAATGAACAACATCGTTTCATGGGAAGGCAGTGGCAATTGCTTTACACACAAATGTACTTTTTTTTTCAGTATGATTTATACGCACATGTACTTTTCTGGTCAGAAAATGATGGCTGCTGATTTAATGATGATCCCATCTCTTAGCCTGACACCACAGAGGTTTGGTCTGGACAAGACTGATATCTGGTCCCTTAAGTCATTATGCTTTGTTACAGAGCCGAGCAAATGTATATGTAGCCCATACACCTGCTGGAACATCTGTGCAGAATATTCTCCATTGGAGCCAGGTAAGAATGCCCAGCTTGCAGCCCTGGGTCAGGATCCTTGCACATGTTGTCTGGAATTATCATATAGCCTGACAGTTTCTGTTTATCCTGAGTTAGAATCTGACCACTGACATTAGAATGTGAACTTATTCAAAATTTCCAGTAGCAGGAGGCAAGGCAGAAAGTGGCTTGCTTAAGCCCGTCTTTACTGCATCTTGAAAGTAGAGCAATTCAAATGAGACCCTACTCCTTCTGGAGTCAGAGTCGCAAAGACTGATGAAGAAAATTATGTTTCTAATTGTCCTTATCAGCTTTTTGAGCAGCACGGTCAAGCCAGAACAAAGGCGTTCAGGTGGGCCAAACTGCAGAAAGAAATTTTCACAGTTTTTGGTGGTGTAAGTTTTACAGTCTAGGGAGAGAAATTCGTGTGTGTGTGTGTGTGTGTGTGTGTGTGTGTGTGTGTGTGTGTGT